AGAGTCGGACATGACTTAACGATTGAACAACAACAAAGATGTGCTTTGATCTCAATCTTCTCTAAATTTGAGGGTTATACTGATAAATTTTATGTTTATTACTTTTTAAGGGATGCTAACTACACTCACATACCAGGTGGCCAAATATCTTCATCAAGTCATACAGTTGCACAAAACTTTTAATTAGATATGTTGTTTTCTTTTTTTCTCTGATAATGAATTGCTGTACCAAACGATTTCTCTTTTCCTACTGTAAAGGCTAGTCAAAGACTGTAATAAAGATATTTGATTTGACTTGAATGCATTCAGGAACAAAAGAGTTGAATCAAAAGTGCAGTAGTCCAGAGTTATTTTATTATTCTGTCAACAGTTGGGCCTGCATAGCATAAATATTATATTAGAATTTTTCCCCAACAGATACTTGGTCTAGAAACAATCCCTAGAAGGCCTCATGAGACTTCTTTATTTCTGGAGTCTAGTGAGGTGTTTCACCAGACTCCATAGATATGCCTCCAACCTCATTACAATCCTTTTTATTTTAAGCCTCTCCTTCTCTTTTTCTCCTTTCCATCCTTTTTTAAGCAATACATCCATCTTCTAGATAACAGTCAGGGATAATAGCAGGGACTGCTGGAAAAAGTAAGCCAAGGCTCACCGTCTAATAACATTACATCATGGGTATTGTCCTAGCAATCCTAAGTGCCAGCAATATAAATTTAAGATAGGAGTACAATTCTATTAATTTTATTTTATTTGTAGTGAATAATTCTGCTGTATGCCACTCAATGTCCATCAGGACCGAAGCAGGTTAGAAATTTTATTAAAAATAAATAAATATAAAATAAAATCCTAAAGAAGCCCCACTGTTCCTGTGTATTTTCCTACTTAAGAAATCAATCAAGATTTCTTTTTTCCTTCCAATACCTTTTTCCAACAACATCTTTGTCTTGTATTTTTTTAAAAATTATTATTAACATCTAATGACTTGTAAAAAATTTGGGAGGGTGCAGGGCTGCCATTCTCTTTTTGGTTACAGGTTTATCAGTTCCAAACATATACCATGGTTACAAAGTCCCAAAATTATAATTTAGTATGCTGCCCCAAGTTGACATGAAGGAATAGAGACATACAGATTTGGAGGATTTCTGAATTTTGTTCACCAGTTGATAAGGAGAAAACAATTTATTAAACTGAAATCTTATATTGGGCCTCTGTGCTTTTATTCATGTTTGTTTTAAGGACATACTATTACAATCTTTTGTGACTGTACTGCAATCTGTGAAGGATTCAAGGTAATTGTCCAATACAATGTGGCTTAGGGTGCCTGGGCAATGTTTACAGGTAGCTCCCAAGCCACTCCAAGACTATGTTGCCAAAATTCAGCAGCAAACCACCACTGAATAAAAATGGTGTGACTTCTCACCAATTTCTGACAGGAAATAAAATCAATAGGTGCATTATACCTCCAGTAAACCTAATGCTCTTACAAGTTTAATAAATAAATAAAACTCAAAGAAAAAAAGAGTGGCCTGAACATTCAGTTCAGTGAGACAACAACATCCTTTCAATCATGTCATTATGCCACTCCCTCATTTCTAGCAATACAAACAAAGAGCATCAGGTTTATCATCAAGACTGATTTATAATAAATATATTTGTTACACTTAAGAGTCTGTTCTTTTGTTTGTAACAGCCACACTTCTAAAAAAAACAAAGATAAACAAGCAATCATTGAACATGTACTTTTTTAAAAAAACACCAACCACATAAATCAATTTCTTACCAAGGCAAACTCATGAGATATTCTTCCATCCGGAGGCAGTTTTGCACCAAAACCTAGAGCTGGAAACATTTTGTCACTATCATAGTCTTGAATGATTTCACCTACTGCTTTTAATGCCATGCCATATGCATTCAGTTGGTATGGATTCATGTAGTGAAGTGAGGTTGGATGTGCAGGGTTACCTGTTTTAAAATATATTTAGAGGATGTTCAGTAGATGAGACTTTTAATAGGTTTACTATATGAGCAAAAATGTCTCTAACTGCTACTTTCTTAACAGATGTTATCTGTACTGTCAATAGATATTTCTCATTATCTATGGCCTCAACTTTACTATCCTCCTCCCCCTGCACCTGAATTCCCCAGTGTTCCATCAAAGGCTGGATTCTTCTCCATGTGAATTAACAAAGGCTTAGACAATAAATTTGTTAGTGGTGAAAGAGCCACAGAACCTTTTCAAAATTTGAACAGGAAAGTTCATGTGAGATGGGCGGCTATATGATACGATAAATAAATTAAAATAAATTTCTTCAAGTAAGTTTTTTAATATCATTTAATTTAAGTATATAATGACCTAAATGGGCACAAAGGTACACTGCTTTGGTCATTTTTAAATATATATATATTTTTTATTAACTTCATGACAACTCTTATTTCACCGAATTTGCAAACTGTGCAGCAAAAGTTTAAGAGAAATGTATAGTCAGCAAAATAAATAGAGTGAAATGAAAATTGAGAGATTAGCTTATCCCTAAATCAAAGGCTACAGATAATTCAGGTTTTAAAAGTTACAGATCCCTTTAAAAATGTCTTTATTTAATAAAATAAAACAAAGGGAAAAGAAAATAATGAAAATATAAAATTTTACATAATCATTTCAGTAACAGATGTCCATATTTCATTGTAAGCACTAGATCCTGTGGATGACTTTGAACCCCCTAAGATTATGTGAAGAAATTCAACACTTCATGTCTTTAGTTTTCTGCTAGGCTTCATGAGCCCATTTTACTTTTAACAAAAATAAGCAACAAAAGCTGCCTTCCAATTAATTAAAATTAAAGTAATTAAAATTAAGCACAATTTATATTTCATAATATATGGAAATGTAACTAATAAAAACTATTCCTTCTAGCCATATACTGTAGATAGACAGAAAGAAGGGAAGGAAGCATCATGTGATTCCAAATTCTAGATTCATTCACATCTTGTTTAAACACATCAAACTATGGTTATTTGGTTCTATAAAACAAGCCTAAATGGATATGTGTGTATGTGTATTTGTAACTATAAATTCTTACCATAATTTGCACACAAATACAACCATATTTTATAGATATGTGCAAACCTAGATTTAGACTTGATTTTTATTGTAAATAAAAATAAATATGAGCATATAAATAACATTTTAATAGTCCCTCATGTGGAAGATAGTTAAAATCTTTCAGAAAGATAAAGGCTTCCCATCTTTTTCTAATAATATATCAGAAAGGAATATGATTGGTCTTAGGCAGTGAATGCTAGATTACTGGAATACTGAACAGCATTTTTCACAGCAAACACAGACAAAGAACTCTCTCTAGAGTGCTTAATAATGCATTCTCAGTTTGAATGTACTGGCTTAGATCCACATTTCTATGGACAGAAATATCTTCAATAAAAAGGACTTTATTTCGTCCCTTCTTGCTTCATCCTTCAGTGCCTCCTGAAGACATGCTTATTAAGACTGAGGAATCCTTAGCATATAGTGGGAATATGTAGAATGAAGCCATTAGCACTTTTCTATTTAGAGAGGGAACTTTTGTTTCCAAACCACTGTAATTTACTTGCATTAAGCTTTTAGAGTATGTTAAGCCAAAATGAAAGTTGTTGTTGTTCAGTCGTTAAGTTGTGTCCGACTCTTCGTGACCCCATGAACCATATTACGCCAGGCCTTCCTGTCCTTCACTACCTCCCTGAGTTTGCTCAGTTTCATGCTCATTGCTTCAGTGATGCTATCTAACCATCTCATCCTCTACCGTCCTCTTCTCCTTTTGCCTTCAATCTTTCCCAGCATCAGGGTCTTCTCCAAAGACTCCTCTCTTCGTAAAATGAAAGTATATAATGTCAAAATAATTCCCACAACTGAAATGTTTAGAAAACTATACGGTATGCCCAACTAAAGTTAATAAACTGTACAACTCTTACCATTTGAAGCTGTAAAATCAATAGCCACAGTGAAATTGATTTGAGTCCTATTAAAAAAAAAAGCATAAACAATCCAAATTATTTAAGAGTGAGGTTTACTATGTGAGGAATATATTAAGAAAAAAATCAATAAAATGTCTTCTAGTAAATAATTACAAATGTTCCAATACATAAATTTCAAGCTGCATTCATCAAAAATTTAAGGTTGTACTTAACATGTTATCTTTTAGAAAGCAGATCCAAACATTCATTATGAAACTGGCATTTAAAAGAGTAAGATACTCAAATATTTGGAGTATTGTTTAATTTTAAACATATATAAAAATTTAGGCAGATTATCACAATTAAAAGTATAATCCATTTACAGAGGATTAAACCATATGATGACTTTTTCTTAAGGCATAAATATTGAAACTTTAATACAACCATTAAAAATTAATTTATAAATGAAAAGTACATCCATTTCACTGAAAAAAATGGTCTATTACAGATAAATCCTCAACTGGATAATACATATATTAAGACTAACCATATACTAGATGTTTAATAGCTTTAATTTAAAATGTCAGAAAGCAAAAACTGGCTTCCAGGTTTCAAAAGCCTTGTTTAAGTTGAGTGCTAAACAAATCTAGCAAAAAACAAAACAACTTGGTGTGAAAATCCTAGTAGTCTGCAGTTTCTGAAAAATTTAAGATGGAGTACTGAAAAATTATATATAGGCTATTGCGCTTTGTTAAGTCTTTTCTGAAAATACATTCTATAAAGTACAGGTGTATGGAATTTCTTTGATAATTACACCCAAGAATAAGAGAATCCAAACAAAAGGATATAACAGCACATCCTCAGAATAGTAAGCTATACTTTACTGTTACTTATTATAAGTCAAGTTTGAGACCTTGGCTTTTTAAATTTTTTTGTTACATATTTTTATTTGTTTGGATATTTTAAAATTTATATCTATCAGGTAGTTGATAAATTTAATGATTTAACTGCATTTATAAACCACATTCTCTCACATTAATATAACTTATGGCATTATTCCATCAATTTGGGAAAAATTGAATTAAAAAGCTCTAGAGCAATGCCAAATCCAATCAGGTGCATCAACAATTTTGTGTGTGTGTGTGTGTGTGTGAGAGAGAGAGAGAGAGAGAGAGAGAGAGAGAGACTGAAAACTCATGATGGGGTCATGACTTCATGATCAAACTCTGTTTTTTTATACAGTATATGTACTGCAAGTATGATCATCTCCCTTTTTCATAATCTCATCTCCAGGACTTCATATACAATTCCACATGCTGCTTACATGTTGAAAACACTGTTTCATAAAGGACTGAAAAGGTAGATAAATTTCACTGCTTATGGCTCAGGTGGTTTGCTTTAACTGGGGTGTCTCCTTAAAAATAGTTGAGTCTCTTAATGCTTACATTTAATACATCTTATCTATTCTATACCCTGCCTTTTATCCAACAAGATACTCAAGACTGCTAAGAGAGAAAAAGTATATATTATTTATTTAGTATTCATAATAACAAAATTATAAAACATTTATAATGAAAATACAAACTCCTAAGTTGTGATACGCTTTTATGCTGTTGTGAAAGTTAGTTCTCACATGATCTGAAGTAAAAACCTAAATCAGGCTGGTACCACAACAAGGAATTGTTTTTAGCTTTTATGTAAAGAGCAGCAGGAGAAAGAGGCACAAGAAATCTGAACACTCATTGTAATATAAATACAGGTTGCATTTGATACAGAAGTCACTGAAATTCTTTATAATGGCTTCATCGTTTTGCTGCAATAAAACTATTGTTTCTGAGTTTTCATGTCCTAGGAAACATATTTTAGCAGTATTTTGCCTTGACAATATCTGACAACTATACCTAAAATAATGTTTTTGCAAAGAACTAGTACAAAGAATAGCTATTTATACTGCTATTGTTATTTCTAATGCAAGTGACAATCAGCAATAGGTATCTATTTAAAATTTTGTTTTTAATCAGCTTTCTGGAGTATTTACTTACCCTCCTTTAATATAGTCGAGAAATGAAACTTCTGTTTCCACTAGGAAGGAAAGTAATGTTACCTGAGAGCAAATGATACATAAGAAGTAATGAACATTAATCTTCAAAACAGCCATATACATAAAGAACATCCATGTGTTAGAATATTGAGACAATATTTAAAATTGGAAAAGTTTATATTTATTTAAAAACCTTTCCAGTATACAGTAGAGAAAAACATTTTGTGTGATCCTGGTATATATCAGTAAGCAACCCTTTTCTCAACTCTACAAAATCCACAACTATTGAGGTGAGTCCTGTCTTTTTCTATTGGCTGTTCTGTTTGGAGGATCCTTCCTACCAGTTCCCAAAATGCAAGCAAATGGGTGCAGACTGTGTGCATGCATTTTTGTTGTACTGCTTGGTCTAGCACTAATGATTGCCAGCTATGTACAGGTAGTCCTCAACTTATGACCACAATTGGGACTGGAACTTCTGTCGCTAAGCTATGTGGTCATTAGGTGAAACATCACATGACCGCACTGCTTAGCGCTGGCAATTCCAGTAGTCTCAGTTGCAGTCGTTAGGCCAGGACAGTGCCATTGTTAGGTGAGTACCTCATGCTTTTCCTGCCCTGCTGCACTCGCCTTCACTTCAACTTCCCCCACCCACCTATCTCCCCCCCATCTCTGCCCTTTTTGCCACCCTATACAGCAGCATTCCTTGGCAGGGGCAGCAGCACTGGGGCTGAATTAGATGCCCAGGGCCTTCAGTAGTCTCAGCCGGTTGCCACAATCCCCAGGCCTCTACTTCAGTCCCAGCACAGCTGACACCATTGCTGAGTGCTGCCTCAAGCCCCACGCCACGGCCAGCCACCCCAGCACCCCAGTGCAAAATCCCAGTCGCCTTGCTGCCCTGAGCTCAGTAGGCCCTGTCACACCCAGCTGCCTTTCACCGTTTTCCTCCAGCTGCTGACGAGGGAAGCCCAACCTGCCTTATGCAAGGCAGCTGCTGGCTGAGCCAGCCCTTCTTCCCAAGGCCACTCGCACCATTCTCCAAATAGCGCGCCCCATTCCCGCACTGCTTCAGAAAGCCTTTGAAAAGATTCTGAGGTCTTCCAAGACATCGCGAGAACAGGGCGGGCTATTTGGAGAACAGTTTCATCAGGCTTTACATTTATCTCAGAGGATTTTAACCAGATTATGTTAGCCCTTAAGTAAAATCCCAAAACTGTATTAGACAATACCTTAAACAAATCTTGCTCAATATTTTTTAATATTTTGGGTAAACCTAAAATGGTATTCAGCTACCATAAATTTTGGAGGCTCTTTATGCAAATTCTTCCAGAATTTAACTTACTTCAAGATACATACAAAGGATGGAAATATATTAATAAAAATCATGCACTTAACTGTTCCTGAATTAACGTATTTTTTCTTTTTTGCTTTTTTCTTTGGATTGATTACCTAGAAAGATAAGTAAATAAAATATGTTCAATATTAATGCAAAAAACCCCAGTTTTTTCCTTAAAATATCTTTTTCATACACCTTTAGAATTCAACTGTACCCCTTTAACATCCAGTTTACACACTTCCCCAAACAACTAACTTTTAAAAAGCAAATATGAATCTTGCAAGGGCCCCTTGGCTGCTGCTAGACACATTCTTTCTTTGGAGTTAATTATAGGAAGGACAGGAAAGTAAGAATTGTAGGTTTCTCTAAGTTTCTAAAGAAGTAAGGAAGAATTCTGTTGTCTGTCAGGGTTGATAGTCAATGAGGCAAAGTAACATGAATGAAGCTTGCAATAAAGTTGGCATTAATGGAGCTAAATTTGGACTCACCCTAGTTGTGGGGGAATGGGAATCAAGTTAATTAAATAGCATTGATGGTATAGAAAAGTGTTAACTCCTGTCATTCATCTGGATGATTTACTGCATAAAAGTTTAGAATGTGAAGAAACAGAGGGGAGAGAGGGGATGAGAAATACAATTAAGTCTGTCCGATTGATCTTAATATTGTTCCAATTATTAAAAGTTGGGTAGAAAGGATTCACATACTCAGGAGACAATGACCCATCTATTCTTATTCTGCCGGCAGCAATAAAATATCTGTTGTTCTGTTCCTAAAAACCTTCTGCTTGAAGATCCCTATGTTAAGTTTGAGGACACATATTTTAAGTTATAAACCTACATACCTTTGAAACTAAGACAACAATTCATATATAATATTAATATTTCACCTGTGTGTTACAATGTAGCTGGGGCAGAAATAATCAAAGAATAAAGGAATTATAAAATATGAGGACCAATGTGTAGCCATAATCCATCTGATGTTTTTTTTTTTTTTTAATCTGCGCTCAGTCGTTACCAACTCTGCAGTGACTGCTTGGACGACTCTTTTGGCGGTTTGCAAGGAAAGGTGTTTCAGAAGTGGTTTGCCAGAGCCTCCTTCCTAGAGCAGAACCCAGCTGGCGGGCGCAGGAGGCGGGGTTT